CCATTCCATACGAAATTGGAGATTGCCTTTTCCATCTCGTTGAAGAATGTGATTGGTATTTGTATTGGGATTGCATTAAATGTGTAAATGGCTTTTGGTAGTATTGCCATTTTCACAACATTGAGTCTTCCTATCCATGAGCAAGGGTTATTCTTCCACTTTTCAAGATCTCTTTCTTAATATTTTTATTGCTTATTGCTGTTTTCACACTATCTTCTCAGAGGTGAACTGCAATAAGAACTCATATGGCTTGTATTACTTGTATGGCTTTCTGGTCCTTTACAGGAAATTTTTGTCAACTTCTTTCTGGGGTTATAGGAGTTCTGGTAATGCTGTTGTCTTATGCTGTTGAGTTGGAACTAACTCACAGCTGACCTTCCAGAGGGTTTTCAGAGACAGTTAATCACATGGGAGGAAATTGCCCATCCTTCTGCCACAGAGCACCTGGTGGAATAGAACTGTGTGCCTTTGGGATTGCAGCGTAGCTTCTTACCACTAGACTACCAGAGCTAATTAGCCATCAGGCAGCTAACTGAAAGTTGGGCAGTATCCTTCACAGCCTTAGAAATCCAATGCTGAGTTGCTGTGAGTTGGAATCCAGTATAGGGCAGTGGGGCTTTTGTTTGTTTTGTGTTAAAAAAACTCAAACTCATTGCAGTTGAGTCAAAACTGACCATAGTTGACCCTCCAGTGGGTCTTCAGAGTATGTAAATTGCAGGGGAGGAGGTTGCCCATCTCTGTCCCTCGGAGCAGTTGGTAGCCTCAAACCACCTTTGGGTTAGCAGGGCAACTCACGATGGCATAAGCAAGGATACCTAATTATGCCATGTAGTTAAAATGAATTAATAACAAAAAATAGTTTATGCCTGTGGAGGTTCTTTTCTTTTTGCACAGATTGTGCAACGAGCTGGAGTCAGAAAATCAGAAGGGCCGAACACATTCAGCATTTCTTAAGTTCAAGGAACTGAAGATCAAATTCAAACCTCGAGTTGTTATAATCAAGAATGCCTTGGGTAGAATATTAAATGATCCAGGAAGTGTTAAAAGAAGATGGAAAGAATATACTGAGTCATTGTAGCAAAAGGAATTTGCAGACACAGAAGAATTTAATGAAATAACATATGAGCAAGAGCCTATGGTGATGAAGGAAGAAGCTCAAGCTGCTTTGAAGGAAATAGCAAAGAATAAGGCCCCAGGAATAGATGGTATACCAATTGACGTATTTCAGTTAATGGATGCTGCCCTGGATGTGCTCACCAAGTTGTGCCAAGAAATCTG